GCCTGAGGGCAGCATTCATGCTCTTTGGTCTGTCCTTAACCTGTCCAGCGTGCCTGTGTTGTACGGGGCTCATGTTCAATCAAGCCGTCCATCTCTTCAGATTTAATAGTAGCTCCGAGTATTTTAAGCCCTGTTCTTTCTCAGACGCAGCAGGCCGGCCGGCCAACTGGGCTCCTGACAGGAAGAAGAAAGATTTCTCCTGCAGCGACAGACTGGTGAGGCTCTTTCTGTGTCGATCTCCTGCGAGGCCGGGCCATTCTGCCCTGCATCCTTTCTTCAGCCCCTCTTCCCGCCTCAGGGATCGCCTCTCTCCGGCTGCTGTCCATTTTGATTTCCACATGTTGAGATTGCAAGCTGTAAAAAGAGACAAAACTGAACGGGGGGGGGACATTATTTCCCCTGACAATACAGTTGCAGCGCAGAGCTGTCAGTGTAAAAAACGGATGGATGATTGGTCCTAAAATGTACGGCGTGTATTTTAACACCTCAACATATTTTTTGTGTGAAAGTTTGCTCTCAATGCAGGACTGCGGTTTCATACACCAGAGGAGTTCTTCCTAGGATGGAAGAGCGCCCCCTTCAGTTTACCCACATTTGACCCAGTAAGGAACAGTACTAACCCTGCCTGCCTGCCTGCCTTTTATGTTTTGTGTGTCTGGAGTTTGTCATTGCTTAATGTACAGGAAACAGAGGGGTCATGTGTAGGAGATGAGGACTGAATGCTCCGATGCAGGGCATGTAATTAGTGGTGTCTGTTTTGGGACACTTCCTCATTTTCATCAGTAGTCTAGATGCTGGGACAGCTGGCGAATTAGTCAGGGTCTCAGATGATGCATTAGCAAACACTGTAGAAGCAGCAAAACATTTCAAAAGGTTTTACCCAAGCCTGGACAAACAGGACTGCAACTCCTTGCAGATTAAGTTTAATGTAGTTACGCATCAGAAAGATATGTTAATGTAGACATTTACCTCTTCTAGCTTACATTCGAGCTAACGTACTTTGTGCTATATAAATACAATTTTATTGGAAAATTGTGCAATGCAGTATTGTATAGGAGTATTATTCAGAGTACTGTGTCCAGTTTTGGTCACCAAAATACAAAAAAAGATATTGCTGCTCTAGAATCTGTTTGGGTGTGTCCTGGGCTTAAAGGAATATTTTGCGCTGCCAGACCAGAATCTAGACTAGAAGACTAGAAAAGACCTGAATCTTCCTGAGTCTTGAACAGAGAGGACTATGAAGGTACCTCATTCAAGTATCCAGATTTCTTAGATTGCAATAGTGTTCAATTTTATGTTACACTAGTGACACAAGTGGGAACTTTGCGGAAGTGCATTTGAAACTGGGAACAGGAGTGAACCCTTTCCACAAAGGGGGGTGGGAGTGTGGAACAAGCTGCCGAGAGCCTTGTTGTTAAAGCCTGTACTTGAGTACAGCTTCATATTCAAGACACGGCTGGATGGGATCCTCCGCAGTCGGGACAGGAGGCACCACTTTACCCAGACGGTGGTGGGGGTGTGGAACAAGCTGCCCAGCCACGTTGCTGGTGCCGGTCCCCTGGCTTCTTTCAAGAAGCTCCTGGAAGAGATGCTTGAACCTGTGGCTGCTGAAAAAAAACAATGAGCTAGGTGGCTCAGAGATCAACGCTGCTGTACTGTATGTCAGTCAATGTGTTGCCATGAACTCCCCTGTCCCTCTGTGTGGTGGTGCAGTGTGAAATTATTGTTTAGTCATGAGTGTTTTATTACCCCCCTTCCCCAGAGGAAGTGTGACCCCGGTGCCCCTCTGTTCAGCCCCCCCGACGCCTCCCTGACCTCCACAAAGCAGGAAGTCATCGTCGCCGTGGGCTACCCTGCCTGTGAGTCTGCACGCTCTCTACTGCTCGCGGCGTCTTTAATCTGCAGATCAACTCTGGGCAGAGCTCCTCCAGAGAGGACTGGCCTGGCAAGGAGAGAAAGCTCAGGGGAGCAAGACTGAATGTGAGAAAGGGGAGAGACCGACAGGGACACAGCTCGATGAGAGACGGAGATAAACAAGTCTCATGGAATGAATTTGAATTCATTTTTCATTTTCAGGAATTTGAATAATTTAGTAACTAAGGAAATAATTACCGGGCACATTTTTAAAAGTCCAAGTGACATTCTATGTAGCAGTGAGTTGCACATTTGATATATTTTTATGTCTTTGTGAAGGACAAGCTACAGTATTCAGGCCTATTCCACAGTCCCTTTCTTTCATTCGTTTCCTCCCTTCTTTTTGCTTTCTGTCCTTCCTCCTCTTCCTCTCCAGCTGGGAAGTCCACCTTCTTCCAGAGCCGGCTCGTCCCCCAGGGCTACGCCTACGTCAACAGGGTGAGTGGAGGGGGCCGTGAAACTGTGTCGGTGCCGCGTCCGCCCCAGGGGTGTGTAGGGGCCTCCCCAAACGAAACATCTCGTCGTTCACCGGCACTTTTGTCTGCAAGGCGCGCGAGGAGACGCAGTTCAGCAGTAACACCGGGGTTCCCAGCCAGACATCAGTGTAGTTTGTAGCACCACGCTGCCTGTCTCGAATTGGCAGAGAGTTGGAGCTTAGTCCTGTCTCAAGGTCGGATTGATCAGGAATTTGGGTTCCCGATGAGCAGGTGCCATCATTACACCGGGCAAAATTCATGATCCGAGCCTTCTCCCAGGATATCGGCAAAAGATTTTAGCCCAGTGATGCCATCTCTGCCGAAACCCAAACACAGAAGCGGCAAGGCATTAAAAGGTCACCGGCTTAACAGTCTGCGTTGTCAGTTGGTCCCAACGGCCATCCTTACCTGATCGTTCGACGTGATACTTCGGTGGATTGAAGTTTGTCTTACGCACCAGTGCAATGAAATGCTTCTTCGCATGTGTGCTCGGGTACCGAGACATTAAAGGAGCCACCCAAAACATAAACGCAGAACAGCAGCAGCACAAAGCTAAATGGCATACAGCTCAGACAAGCAGCGTGAGAAGAGAAAAAAGCTTCGTATGAGTCGGCGGTAGGGGTAGAGTTCGGTAATCTGACAGCTTGCGGGAAGGAACTGTCTCTGAATCTGACGCAAGAGACTACAGAGGCTCAGGCCCCTTCAGGATGGGGCTCCTCGATATTTCTTGATGGGAGAGGGCAGTGAGAGTGCTTAGGGCGTCCGACTGCTTCATTCACTCTGATGCAGCCAGCGGGGCAACAAAATATCAGAGCTGAGCCACCTCTTTGTGTAACCTGCTCAACGATCCGCGTTGCCGGTCGGTCCCAGTAGCCGTCCTGACCTGCTCTTCCCACGCGGGAGATTAAAGAGGTTCTCTGCCCCCTCTCCCGCAGGACACCCTGGGCTCCTGGCAGCACTGCGTCTCTGCCTGCGAGAGCGCTCTCCGCCAGGGCCGCCGCGTCGCCGTGGACAACACCAACCCCGACCCGGAGTCGCGCAAACGGTGACGTCCACGAGCGCCTCCCGCAGGCCGCCCGGCTCGCTGCCCGACGCCCCCTCGCCGTCTCTCTGCCTCCCGCAGGCTGCCCGGCTCGCTGCCCGTCACCCCCTCGCCGTCTCTGCCTCCCGCTCCACCCTTCTCTCTCTCTCCTGACCGTCTCTGGGCCGCGCTCTCGGGGGAGGGGGGCCCCGACCCTGCGCCCTCATTTCCACGTGGGGTGCAGCTTTCCAGTGTTCAATCCAGCCATTTTCTAACTGCTTCATCCGGTACAAGGTCACAGGGGAGCCGGAGTCTGTCCCAGCAAGCAGCGGGCACAAGGCAGGGTACACCCTGGATGGGGACACCAGTCCATCGCAGGACACACACACAGATACACTAGGGCCAGTTTTACCAGAAGCCAGTTAACCCACCGGTCACTGGACTGTGGGAGGGAACTGGAGCACCTGAAGGAAACTCACGTCAACATGGGAGAACATGCAGACTCCACACAGACAGCACCCTGGCAATCGAACCCAGAGCCCCACTGCTGAGAGGCAGCAACGCGCACCACTGTGCCACCGTGCTGTCCCTCTCTGTTTAATGTGGTGTCAGTGACGTAATATAACAAGATTACTGTGTTTCTTTTTAATCTTAGGTGGCATAAGTAGGCATGTGTTGATTAAAATGATGTCTTGTGAAACATGCTATAGAAGTGACTTCGGAGATAACTACAAAAGCAGTTAAGATACTAAAGCAGATGCCTTGACAAATTAAAGCACTGTTTTCCCTCTTTCTCTGCTCCTTACATGCTAACATTTATTTCTACACCTGCTCGTGCTTGTTCCCTCCTGTCGCTGTCTTAATCTCCATCTTTCCTCCCCTGTTCTGTTCTTGTCTGCTTGTGTTCTCATCCCTTTTCCTCTCGCCCCTCAGGTATATCGATGTGGCCCAGAGAGCGGGCGTCCCCTGTCGCTGTTTCCTCTTCACTGCATCGCTGGAGCAAGCAAAGCACAACAACAGGGTCGGTATCCCGAGGTCAGAGGTCGGGCTGCTCTGCGCCCGGCAGACGCGTTCGCCTCATTCCTGCCCCCTCCGCCATCCGCCCATTTTCTCACCACTTTATCTAGAACTAGGTCACAGGGGAGCCAGGGCCTTTCTCAGCAAGCAACGGGCTGAAGGCAGGGTACACCCTGGGCAGGACACCAGTCCATTGCAGGGCACACACAAATACAGCACAGTCTCGATTATCCGACAGTCCGTTTTATCCGACATAGCAATCAACATGCGATATACATATGTGCTACGTGCTGTATGCGCGCGCATGCATGATATTTTGCCCAATCCCATGCTGCTTTGGCAGATACTGCCATTGACGTAGCTTCGCCTGTTCGTCTGCGCTCGTATACGTCATTTTATTATTTGAGGAGAAACATGTCAAGTGCAAAGAGAAATAAAGTGATCTGTAGATTCCAGGATCGAACACAGAAATTCGATTCAGCAGATGATAACGCTCGTCAGAGAGAGGTGCCTCATGTGAGGAGCTCAATGAAGAAGAACAGGTAGTGTCACCCAGCTTGCTACAGGAAGCAGGTGTTATGGGTGCGTGCAGGATCGCTACAGCCCGTGAGATCCAGAGCATTTCTGTGTGTGACAAGAACAGGCCGCGCTTATCAGTGCTGTGGTCTGCCGGACAATTTCCAATTTGAGGATAAAAACGGGGGGTTCAGACAGCCGATGTAATGGTGCAGGAGCCCTATTTCTCCATGGCAGCGTGTGGCCTCTGGAATTATATGTTAGATTAAATCACGACCGCAAAGAGATGTGCTGCCATGGGGTTTGGTGGACACGGAGGCATGGAGTCACAAACCTACACAGAGGTGGCATGTAAATGCTTTCTCCTGAATCATTCGAATATTTTTTGTCTCCATTGACACACGGATCTCAGCCTTCACCTGTCCTTGAGGTGTGCTGGGGTGCTCTTTGTTGCAGAATCACGCAGGGCCCTTTTAGGAAATGACCTTGCTTGCTTTTGTATATCTTTTCCCTCCGACTTGATCATGCATCACCTCCTTTTTTAGTGACAGTTGATGTTTTGGCCCAGAGAGAATAGCTCTGAAATACAGAGCAGGGCAGCGCAGGGCCTGGCTGCCAGTAGCACCCGGCACCCCCAGGCCCGTCTGCTCCTGATCTGGGTGATCCCGGTGATCCGAGCGTGGTCAGTGTTTTCTTTTTTCACTGGTCTTCAGTGGACTGTCTGCCATCTTGCATTGTAGCTCTGTGGCCTAATTTCACATTTCACATAAACAGTCAGGAAGTTGCCACGTCTCGTATGAATGCCTTCCATCCGATTTCTCCCTCTTTCTCACAGATCCGGGAGATGAATCCCTCTGGGAATACTCACGCCACGGTCAACGACATGGTTTTCAACAGCTACAAGTGAGTTTCTCCGCCGGTCCTAGCGTCTCCCTGTATCGTATGTGCTGGGATTAACCGAGCTCTCTCTCCCCTTCCAGGAGCAAGTTTGTTGCTCCCACGCTCTCCGAGGGCTTCTCCGAGATCCTGCAGGTTCATTTCGTACCGAACTTCCCAGACGAGCAATCGGAAGCGCTGTACAAGCAGTTCTCTGAAGGGTGATTGGGTCCTCCGCCCTCCAATCACGACACGTTTTAGGTAGATTTTTAGCGTCCGCACTTAACAATGTCTGATATTTACTAAACACGTTTTTTTTGTTTATTAAAGTCAATAAATCTCAACTTCACATTGTTATTTTGGTCCCTATGATGGATGAACAGTAGCGCGACTTAGACAGTACAAGGATGGCGGTGTGGAGATCTGGGTTGGGCTGGGGGAGCTGGGAAGCCTGGTCTGATGGGACGGCGTCGGTCGCAATGGAGGCAGTGTCTGCTCAGAGCAGCACTTGGTTGCCATGAAATACTGCCAGCAACCATATCACCCTGCAACTCACAACTGGCAGCCCACTGGAGCTCAGCAGGTGTGAGCCTGGTCAGTACCTGGATGGGAGACTCCTGGGAAAAACTAAGGCTGCTGCTGGAAGAGGTGTTAGTGGGGCCAGCAGGGGGCGCTCACCCTGCAGTCTGTGTGGGTCCTAATGCCCCAGTATAGTGACGAGGACACTATATCGTACAAAGGTGCCGTCCTTCTGATGAGACGTAAAACCGAGGTCCTGACTCTCTGTGGTTATTAAAAATCCCAGGGCGTTTCTCGAAAAACTGGCGTCCCCTCCAGGGTGTACACTGCCTGGCTTGCAGGGATAGGCTCTGTCTCCCCCGCGACCTAGAATTGGGCAAAGCGGTTAGAAATCAGAGGAACCCCCAGAATCCCGCACGTCACCGCAGAGGGGTACAGCCCAGGGATACCCCCAGACACGGGCACCAGCTGTGCCTCCTCTGGGTTTGAGCTCGGTGGCAGGAGCAGGAGACTTGGAGAGGGCTGGAGGGACTGAACCGAAAGCCAGAGATCCTCCAGAGAAGCCAGACGTGACAGATGGATGATGATGATGATGAAGACGGAGAGGAGGGCCTTCAGCCCTGCTCCCTGCTGTGGCTGTGAATCAGTCGGTTAGGCTCGGGGTCCCGGGGGTGACAGTCCGGCCTCCGCGCGCTTGAGAAACCTCCGCAGAGCGAGCGGGACATGTGCTCACTCGGCAAAGAACGCCACAGAGTGGCATTGAAGGGGAAAGAAAAACAGTTTTCATTAACCACAGCGGTGAAGTTCATTACGGTTAACCAGCTTTTCTTGCTCATTCACAAGAATAAAAATAAACTCAATACAAAAAATAAAACTTTAAAAAATGGGTTGAATAAAAAGCATTTCAAAAGCTGGAATTGGAGTTTTATGCTCACACCAAATGTAATCATTATGATGTTTAGTCTCATTAATAATAATTCCTTTTTTGGGGGTTATTTATATATAAATTAAGGTTGAAATATAAAATATTCCTCTCACCTCTGTCTCATTAAATTAAATAATTAAGTTCCTATTATTGTGAGTAGCTGTGGGTGCATTTTATGTACTTTAAATGTGTTGTGTTTCCAGACAGTGGACTCAAAATGCAGTGACCCAGTGAGATTCATCTGGAAACGAAGGTAAACAGCAAGATTATTAGAGCTGTTGCTGGAGCAAATGGTAGAATTCACTTTGCCATTTTAAGCAAAGAATGCTGAAAGAGTCCTGAAAACATCCAATGCTAAATTACAAAATGAGTTATGCAAAAGCAGCACAACAAGTGTGGGACCTCGCTTCCAAGGGTATTGGTTTATTTCTGCTACTGACTGGTGTGAAGTTCAGGCTTGATGCTTTACAGCAGATAATATTCCTGGAGCTCCCAGACTCTCCCTTCGCTTTCCAGCTGTGGACCTCTCAGTCTGGGGCTCCAGAAGGGATCTTGGCCTGTTCAAGTGTCCGAGGGCACAGTGAATTTAACAGCAGCAGCTGCAAGGCGGGGTTTCTCTGCGGTCCAGACTTGACTCTCAGCAGTGTTTTTGAGACCGCCTGGAAACCTGAAGCAAAACCTTGAAATGAAAAGGCAGCACAGTTAGATTTTTCACGGCAGTCATCGCGCTGGTTTGGTTCACACATGAGCTGTGGAAAGATTGTAGGCAGACTTCTGTGATGCTTTTTACTCGCTCCGGGAGCTAGGATTGGCCGGTTCACAGTGCTCTTTTCTTGGTTGTGAGCAGGCAGGCCAGATTAGCAACGCAGCCATAGCATGAAGAAACAGAGCCAGTTAGAGCAGCAGCCAGGGCCAGTGGACTTTACCGATGCAGTAAACGCAGAAGACGATCTGAATCGTCAATACACAGGTGAGTGTGCACATTAGCGGACCTCACTAGAGATCAAGAGAGGGAGAGTTTGTCTCTGTGATGCCCATATTGTCCTGATGAGACCATAGTAGAATCCACATCAACACCCAGAGCCCTGCATCTGTGACTTCCTGAAGCTCAGAATCATCCGTGTGCTCTGTCTGATCTAAGGACTCTTTACGCCTATAAACCTTAAATTTCATTGGCTGGAGATCAATTGCATTGGGCGGGGCGGGGGCTCTGTGGTGAAGGATCTGCGCCTGTGGCTGAAAGGTTGCTGGTTCGAATCCCGCGGCCGGCAGAGGAATCCTACTCTGTTGGGCCCCCTGCGCGAGGCCCTGAACCCCAGCTGCTCCAGGGGCGCTGTATAAATGGCTGCTCCTGCGCTCTGACCCCAAGCTTCTCTCCCTGTCTGTGTGTCTCATGGAGAGCAAGCTGGGGTCTGCGAAGAGACAAATTCCTCATGCAATAAAATTGTATAGGGCTAATAAAGTGATCTGATCATGTGACCAGCGAGCAGAAATGGCCAAGCCCCCCCTTTTCTTACTTGTGTTATTCATTGTCATGAATGTTTTATCCGCCTGTTAATATAGTTGGGATTATTACCATTAAAAGGCCACTCGCAAAAGGTGGTCCTTGTTATTCTCGCTCCCTGGCTGAAATCTGAGACGTTGTAGACGGAATGTCTTTGAACTTCTCTGTGCAGCAGGCGCGTGGGAAAAGAAATCGGACATGAAAACCTCCGGCCCTCTACAACACACACAGCTCCCATTCTTCCACAGACCAGAGTCAGTTGTCACGGATTCCTGGATTTGGCTAAGAACATTTGAACTACCTGTCTGAAGAACCCGCTAGGTCAAATGACCTAAAACAACTTATACCTTATATTCAGTTCCATTCAATTTATTTTTATATAGCGCCTTTCACAACACGGTTGCCCCAAGGCTTAACAATGCAAGTGACCACCATACATGTGGTGAATAATATGTCAGTACCCGGTTGCGATTGAGGTTTCAATTGAAGGCGCGGGCGGTTTACATTCACGTCGTTTGCTGTGTATCAGATGCTTCATGGCGTCCCAGCGGTCACTTGGGTCAACAGAGAGTCTGGAAAGGCAGCTGATCGTGGTGTCACGGTCAGTTCGCATGGTGTAACTCTGCCTAGCGATCATTCTGGAGTCGCTCACCCATTTTCAAAAACATCTTTGAAACCAATGGCAGTACTGATCTGAAACTCCTTATCTCTGAGTTCCTCCATATCCTAGATTTAGACTTGTTCTGGAAAGGTCAGTAGATCACAGGGTTTGCTCATTTTATTGGAACAATATTGAAACGTCTTTTCTAAAGGCACATGGCCCTGATGAGCCAATGACATTTCTGATGTGCATCCATCCACTTTACGTTCATGGGGGAGCTGGAACCTATCCCAGCATGCAATGGGCACAAGGCAGGATACACCCTGGGCAGGACGCCAGTCCATCACAGGTCACACACAGACGCAAATACTCACATCAGAGCCAATTTTCCCAGCAGCAAATTCACCTACCAATACGGCTTTGGGACGAAACCGGAGCACCTGGAGGAAACCCACGCAAACAGAGAGAACATACTGTACAAACGCGACAGAAAATGAACCCAGGGCCGTAGTGCTCTGAGGCAGCAGCACTCGCCACTGCGGCACTGTCTCCTATGCATTTGTTTTGCAAATGCTACATCATTGCTGTAGTAGATCAGTGCAGGCTGGTGAGTAATCGCAGGGGTCTGCACGGTGCCGCATTGATCAAGTCCTGGGCTGGGCCCTTCTTACCACTGGTGAGCACCATGAAACTCGTGGGGGCAAGCTGGGACGATGTGCTCAGGCCCGTGAACATGCCTGTCCCAGCTCTAAGAAAAGAATGGGACATTGTCCCATAACAGGGTGCACCCACAGGTGCTGCAGACAGTGCGTCATGAGTGCACAGATTGTATTCGTTCCAGTCCTATGGGCCTGTGACTTTCACAGGAGACCCCCATCAGCACGGTGAATTTACCTGTGCCATCACTGTTCAATTAAACGCCCATGCTCCTGCTACCACTATCAAAATACTCATTATCCTCAAAAAAACAAACCTTTGTAAATACATTGCCCTTATAAAGGATACTTTTCTTTGATGCTCAGTACATACATTACACGCATATATCATGAGTTATTTCAAGTAGGGAGCTGCATCAGCATGCAAAGGCTGCAAGGGATCAGGTGGCGGGTTTATTCCACGATGAAAAAGGAAAAGAAACAAGGTTTCGGCCGTGGAGCCTTCTTCAGGTGTATCACAAGTTATACTTCAGACGCCAGAGCTCTTAGTCTTAAAAGTCCTTCTGCAGATCTTTTGATCATTGTGTGGTAGGATTAAAGAAAAAAAAACCATGCAAAAGGTTATCCCTCCCTGCTGTGGAGGGGCGTTGGAGAGTGAGGGGGGTCAGGTTGGGGGCTGGAGCGCTGGGTCAGTCAACGAGCACCTGCCTGTGGAATGTGAAGGACCTGCATTGTCAGGAGGCGTTGAGCTGGTTGACTAAATGAGACTAAATTGGCTATAATTCAGAACACCTGAGCAAAAGATTTGGCGTCTCTTGATTTGATGCGGTTCTGCAGCTCTTGGGTTGAGCTTTCAGCTGATGGCAGTACTTTCCCCGTGTGTGGCTGGAAGACAGTGATGGTAATGCTGTTGTGAGGAAAGATCAGAGTAACTACAGGGTAAGGATATCATTCCATGTTGTGGGATTTGTAGTTGACACAAGCTGTGATGTCAGACAGTTGTGTGTGTTGACAGACAAGCTTGATCCTAAAAAATAGGTTCTAAGCTCTAAATTGAGGAGTTACTGAGGACTAGTCTCATCAGCTTTTTTAAGGGTCATAATTTAATGAGCAATCAGTGATGTCGTTTTAGATTTAATTCTGTTTTGTGTATTGTACTTTATGTAATGCCTAAATGCATTAGGGATTTGTAAAATCCTTAAATTTGCTGTAATTGGTAAAAACCAAATTACCCCCCCACCACCACCACCAGCCCCATTTCCTCGGCTTATTTTCCTCTTTCTTTCTCGAACCTTTGCCGTTTGCTACTTAAACGGCTTTCTGATCTTTTAAAACCTCTGCAGCGCACCGGTGCCTGTAAAACCTAAGGTGTCTTTGGATGTTTCATCCATCCACTTCCTGTTTTATCCAGTACAGGGCAGCTGGGGGGCAGGAGTCTAGCCCAGCATGCAAAGGGCACAAGGCAGGGTACACCCTGGATGGGACGCCAGTCCATCACAGGGCAGATGAAATGCTAACCACTGTGTCACCTGGTGCTAATTAGCTCATCCCTTTTTTTCCTTGTGAGGATATTAGCATTCCAGCTGTTATTTTAAGTCCAGACTCTTTAAACTTCCTTAAATCTCCATTAGGCATTTGCCTGTAAAATATGACATTTTACTCCTTCTGTTGGTGAGTTTCTCCATAGTGCGAGGTACTGGCCCCTCTGCTGTTCTCTGCTATAAGTATTTCCATGTTTGTGCCTTTAAAAGTGAAAACCAGAGGCCCCTTTACACAAAGGGTGGTGGGAGTGTGGAACAAGCTACCCTGCGATGTTGTGGAAGCCAGTACCTTCACATCTTTCAGGACAAGTCTGTCCATTAACTGCCATCTACTTGTCGGGCTAGATGGTAGAAGGACCAAGGGACATGATGATGATAATAATTGCTTACACTTATATAGCTTACACAGACTGCAGGGTGAGCGCCCCCTGCTGGTCCCACTGACACCTCTTCCAGCAGCAGCCTCAGCTTTCCCAGGAGTCTCCCATCCAGGTACTGGCCAGGCTCACACTGCTGAGCTCCAGGGGGGCTGCCAGCTGGGGGCTGCAGGGTGATATGGCTGCTGGGATAGAGGCCTCCTCATTAACAGCGAGATGTTAATGTCTCGCGCTTAGTCAGTTACTCCAGCCCCATGGTCTGAATGGCCCATCCCGTGCAGCGTGAGCTCAATTCTGCCCCCCGTCTTTCAGAAAGATTACATCCTGCTCCCCTCTTCTGGATTCCTCTACCATTCCTCCCCCCTCTGCACACGCTCCGTGTGGTGGCCTGGAAAAGTGCCCCTGAGGCGGTCTTCCCCATCTCGGGAATGTCGCCCGACCGGTCTGGGAGCATGCCGCTGGGCGAAGAATGGCATTGGAGTCCGTCGTTGGGGAATTTCTTCGGAGCCCCTCCCGAGCTTGGCCTCTCCCCCTGCTCCGAATTCCTCATGCGCTGAAGCGGCCTAAAAGGCCGTCGGGCCAGTTTGAAGACCCCGTCTCCACCCCCTCCTTTCTCTCTCTCGCTCTGCTGGGCCTCCTGCCCTTCAGCCCAGCCTGGTGTGTTTGTCACAAGTGTTTCAGGGCACTTGGGCACAGCTGGCCCTGTGCTCCGAGACCAAGGCATTAAGGTAGGGTGACTGTTTTTTTTTTAACCAAACAATTTGAAATATAATGAGACGAGAAACACTGTTACTTGTCATGGCTGTAAAAACACACACACACACCCTTTTCAAGCTACGCTGCGTACACTGTTCAGAACATCTACCGGTAATGCGTGGAAAGAACAAAGGGAAATATGTTTGTTTACACAAAGTCCCGGCCAGTTTGGGGGAATTTTATCGATCCCAGTTGGACCGAAATTTTAGGTCTCAAAAAGAGGACGTCCGGTCACCCTAATTAAGAAAACCCCCGAAACGGCACGAGCTGTGTGTAAAAAAAACAAAATGGTGGCGGAGGTAGAATTGAATAATCTGGCATCTTGCAGGAGAGAACTCTGTGAATCTGTAAGTACGTGCCTTTCTGCTCTTTATTCTCTCTCTTTTTCCCCAGCGAGAGCACCCGACCCCTGCCTGACCCCCGCCCTCCGACCCCTCGCTCGCCAGCGCCCCCATGGCCTCGGGCGGCTGGGGGGAGGAGCAGTTCTCCTGCTCGGTGTGCCTGGAGCTCCTCCGGGATCCCGTGACCATCCCCTGCGGGCACAGCTACTGCCGGGGCTGCATCGAGCGCCACTGGGACGGGGGGGCGGCGGCGGGCGTCTACAGCTGCCCGCAGTGCCGGCGGACCTTCTCCCCGCGGCCCGTGGTGGGCCGGAACACCCTGCTGGTGGAGCTGGTGGAGAAGCTGAAGGAGTGGGGTCCTCCTCCTCCTCCTCCTCTTCCTCCTCCCCCCGCCGGGCCCGGCACCGTGCTGTGTGACGTCTGCCCCCGGGACAAGCAGAGCCCCGACCGGAGGCGGCGCGGGCAGCGGGCGCTCTCGGCCGCGACGGGGAGGGCGGAGAAGCAGGTGAGAGGGGCCGGGGCCGGTCTCGTCCGAGACGCTCTCTTTCTCTGGTCGCCATCCCTGGACGAGTGCCGGGCGTCCTTGGGTCTGTTTGATGGGGATGATGTAGAGAGGGGCGCTTTTTTTAGAATGGATTAAAAGTAGCAAGAGAGCGTGTGAGGGTGGGGTGGGGTAAGAAATGAAAAGGCGTCTTTCTAACGTTGATCTGTCATAAAGACAACAGATGTCCGGGTGCTGAACTGGAGAACGCAGGTTTCGCAGCTCCTTGGGGGATAGGGACGAGGAATGGGTCTATTCCATGCTGAAAAGAGGAGGAAAGGAACGCGACGTTTCGGCTGTGGAGCCTTCTTCAGGTGGTCTTTGTCCCGAAGAAGGTCCCACAACCGAAACGTTGTTTCCTTTCTCCTCTTTTCAGCCTGGAATTAACCTTTCATTACACGGCCTAAAAAAAAATGCCATCTCGTATCCACGTGAAGCTTGTTGTATCAACACTGATTTACTGTTGGGCTGCTCTTGATTCATCTCTGAATTTGCGCCAGATCAGCTGGCACACAAACTGTCTGATGGGCTTCAGACCCCACTAACCAGTTCTGAAAATCTGTTCTCTTTGTTCAGAGGTCCTGCGGTACCCCACTGTTAAAGCAAGGACCACTAGACTCAAACAGCTTCTATCCCACTGCAGTACAAACCCTTTAACAGCCAACTGCAGGGCCTCAGACTCGATACACAGCTTCACTATGCGCTTTTTGCATAGTCGACCATGTTTTTTTTTTCTTCTAAAAATGTAATAATAATAAAAGTGTAAGGAATTATCACTATAGCTCTTTTCTGGACACTGCACTCAAAGTGCAGGTCATGGGGATCCCCTCCACCCCCACCAGTGTGCAGCCCCACCTGGATGATGCTCCAGTCCTCTCCCCACACACCAGCTCTCAGTGGGGAGGAGAGCAGAGTGATGAAGCCAGTTCAGAGAGGGGGATTATTAGGAGGCCATGACTGGGAAAGGCCAGGAGGATATTTGGTCAGGACACCGGGGTAACACCCCTACTCTCTTTGAGCACCGCCCTGGGATTTATAATGCCCACAGAGAGTCAGGACCTCGATTTTACGTCTCATCCTTTTTGCAGTACAGCGTCTCCGCCCTGGACGTGTCTGTTGTTCTGGTTGTATTATTTATGTTTGCATTGTGCGGTGTTGTCTGTGGTACTGTGCGTGTCCTGAGAGATCGGCACGGTTAAGAATTCCACTGCCCGTGTACAACTGGCAGTGGGCTCCTCTACTCTGATGGTGCAAAGGCCCTGCAGTCTCTTCGCCATGGGCAGCCCCAGGGGCCCGGACATGGCGCTGTCGAGTACGTGTACTGTATGTAGCGGCCGCACACTGCCTTTCCAGCGGGGCTCGGCTCAGGCGCGTCCCCACGTCTCCCTGTCCGCAGGAGCAGCTCAGGGCAGCGCAGGCGGAGACCCGGGCGGCGATCCGGCGCGGAGAGGACGAGCTGCGGGAGCTGAGGCGGGCCGCGAGGACGCACAAGGTGAGCGCTCGGCACGTCGACGCGGAGAAGCGCCTCCAAATGGGGGGAGGAAATGAGACACGTGCTCTTTCCTGCGGACCGCGAGTCGCCGGCGACTCCTCCCAGCGCCCGTGTGGGGCCCTGCTTGGCGCTCGACAGGAAGGCGGGCGAGCCGTGCGCGATGAGCTCGGCTCCCGAGTGGTCCTGAGTGGCTCGGGGGGGTGGAGTGGGGGGCCGACACAAAGGGATGAGAACGGGTGTCCCAGCGCCCACTTCGCTCGATCGCAGTGAGCGAGAGGGATCGCTGCCATGGTCGCCCTTATTGAGCAGTGACTGAAAGATTTGATTCCAGTAAAAAAAAAATCCCAAATATAAATCTTTAAAAGGACAGCTGTTGCCCCCTGTCACTGAGTATCTCTCAGCTACTGTACACCAGGACTCGGTGTCCTGCGGGGCTCTTCTGGCAGGCATGATGAGCCTTTTCCTCATGTGAGAGGGAGACCGAGGTGTCCATTGTTGCCAAATGTCTGGTAAATCACAAATTATCTATTTCAGCCCCCTCAACAAGATCTCTCTATCATACGAGACAAAATATAAGCTTTTTGGATCTTTCGGATGATTTTTAACAATTGCACTTGACTCGGTCGATGAGGATTGTTCCTGTGCCTTTTTCACATTCAAGCTCTTTATGATGTGAAATAAATATACTGTATAAAACTTGCAAACACCCATTGTAAGCAGGTTACCTCCATCTGTGGAGCAGCATTAATTTTTTTTTCCCAGAGGGGTTTGCCCCCGCACACCCGCTAGTGGGTCTGTAGTCGCTGACTTCATCTGTGTACCAAATACTGTATCCTTCTGGCTGGAATAATAATAATAAACTTTATTTTATATATCGCCTTTAAAGGTGGCTTCTCAAAGCGCTTTACAGAATGACAGCAATAAATAAGAAGAATACACAAGATAAAACACAATTTCAATATACAGAGGAGACCGTGGATGGGGGTAGTAAGAAAAGCAGAGGGGTGGAGAAGAGGTTTTCTGAAGAAGAGGGTTTTGAGTCTGGATTTGAAGGAGTTTAGAGAAGGTGACTCTCTGATATCCTTGGGCAGAGAGTTCCAGAGCTTGGGGGCATAACAAGAGAAGGCCCTGTCACCTATACAGTACAATGTAGACGGGCTTGGGGGACAGTTTGGAGAGCAGAATTAGAAGAGCGAAGGTTGCGAGGTGGGGAGTAGGGTGATAATAGTTCAGACAGGTACTGAGGTGCCAGAACCTTGTAGGTGAGCATGAGGGTTTTAAAGTGCACACGGAATTTGACAGGAAGCCAGTGCAGGGACTCCAGGATAGGAGTAAGTTCTCTAATGCAACAGCCAAGATGCTTTAGAACTGAAGCCAGCAGGAAGTGTCGTGTTCGGACTAAAAACAAGGCAGTACCCAGTTCCTTCAGCTGTCAAGCCTGTAGGTTCTGCCATCGTGATCACGGTCTGTCCTCTCGATCAGAGCTCTTCTTGCGCAGCCCGGGAACAGAGCAGGGAGGTCTTCGAGGAGCTGATCGGCTTCTTCCAGAGCGCCCGTCTGAAGGTGGACGAGCTCCTCGTGGGGCACGAGGAAGACGCTGGCGGCCTTACGGAGGCCCTCATCCAGCGCCTGGAGCAGAGGGTCAGCGAGCTTCAGAGGAGAGAGGCGGAGATGGAGCAGCTCTCTCACACAGAGGATCACAGCTGTTTTCTGCAGGTACTGGACCTTCACTAAACGAAAATGCTTGCCCTTCTCCCTTTATTATCATAATAATTGCTTACACTTATATAGCGCTTTTCTGGACACTCCACTCAAGCGCTTTACAGGTAATGGGGATCACCTCCACCCCCACCAGTGTGTAACATCCACCTGGATGATGCGACGGCAGCCATAGTGCGCCAGAACGCTCCCCACACACCAGCTCTCAGTGGGGAGTAGAGCAGAGTGATGAAGCCAGTTCAGAGATGGGGATTATTAGGAGGCCATGATTGGTAAAGACTAGGGGGAAATTTGGCCAGGACACCGGGGTAACACCCCCACTCTTTTCGTGAAACACCCTGGGATTTTTAATCTAATTTAATTTTGAATCTTTATACGAGCTGGATCTGAAAAAGTAATTGCGTTATACTGAGTAATACTTGGAATCATCCTGCAGTGTGGATTGTGACTAAGTCACTACAGCGAAGATGTGCTATCGGATCGCCAGCCTGTATTAGAAATAAACTCTTATGGTGCCGATAATTAGGCCGAGTCAACAAGAGGCTTTTGTGAGGGTGGGGGGGCAGTGCAGGAGGGGGTTATAGTTGTTTAAAGCAAAGTTACCCTCCCCCAGATTCAGGATTTGCATCATGAAAGCATTTTTTAAATGCAACCAGCTTCGTAATTTTAAGATGCTGGGGGTGGGGGGCTCAATAGTTTAAATACAAGGGGACCAAAATAGTAGATCAGCGTAAACCCCGTTTGGGAAGGGGTTTAGTTATCGATGCCTCTTAATTTTCTACTTAGATTTTTTTTGATAAGGTCATCTTGATCAGTTGCAGCTTGAGAAATACCTCTCATACAGTACCTTCACGAAGATTTCCCGAATAATCTTGGAGCCCTGGGCCGCTGAGCTACCGGTTTTAGCACAAGCTCGGGAGGCCAGAGCCGAGCCCTGTGGTTTCACTGGGGGAGGAGGGAAAAAACCCACTCTCTCTTTCCCTCCCTCCAGAACTTCCACACTCTCTGCGCTTCCCTGCAGCCTGCGGATGTTCCTGGCGTCGTCCCGGGTCCCGACCTGTCCTTCACGGCGGTGAGGAGGGCGGTGTCCGGTCTCCGGGAGAGGGTGGTGGAGGTCTGCAATGAGGAGTTGGCCAAGATCTCCGAGACAGGTGACCCAGAGCCGTTCGGGACTGAATTTCTCCCCCCTTTCCCAGTAAAAGCGATATTTGGTGGAGAACCTTTTTGTTATGGTTTACAGTGATTTAGATGTAAAGGGCAGCCGGTTTTGGAACATTATGACCGATGTCCAGGCTCCGATTTCTGCTTTGGCATCTGCAATTCTGAGTCGTATTGCTCCGTTAGTTGGCATTACTTGCTCTAAATGAATAAGAAAAAAAAAACACAGAGGAGGTCTGCCTTTTGTTTGATCTCGCTGTGGGCATGCTTTTCTGCATGTTGAGTACAGCAGTGTCACCTGATTTATAATCCCAGTTGACTTTTTTTAAACTTGCAGAGAAATAATCTTTCCCTGGGAAATGCTGAGTTTGTTGCTCAATCTTGTCTTTCATTTAGTGAAGCGGACGACGGTTTATACCCTGAGCCCTGGGGACACGGACGTGTGTGCAAATGGTATGACTTCCAGTTTTAGTCCTTTCTTCCTGCAGGAAATCTGGATTTTGTTTTTTTTAAAGACTTCTGTTCAACCTGATCTGAAAACAAAGATGGTGAAGAACCGTTCTGTTCCAATCCAGTTCGAATGTGCAATTTTCCTGCTGATTCATTGTGCCGTCATGAAAAGACCTGATCCGCAGGAGGTAGGAATAGTAACGGTGGAACTAAAAAAAATGTGAGCTCCATTCTGGCGCTCTCTTCAGTCTGGGTTCGCGGTTTCACTTTAGAAACATCTTGTTCAACTAACAAGCTTTATTAAACCTAAAAATGACCGTTTAACAGAAAGTGTTATATCTACCGTTTTCATAGTAGGTATCATGATCCTACTGCAGTGTAATAAAAACATCTGTAATCAAAGATTCCTACAGTACCACACAGGGAACTGGACTATTAAATAACACTACAATTTTACAGCCTTTCAGGAAATCCTGAATACCATTTCAAACAATCTCTTGTTTTCAAACCACTTACGAGCACTTAATTTCTTCAGTTACTTCTTAAATGATCATCTAGTTTTAATGATCTGTGAATTCATGGCAGATTTCAAATGCTTTTATACCGATGAACCTATAGATTACATGGCAAAAAAGTTTTGGGGAATCGGGAGTATCGTTTTTTTTTTTCTTCCATTGCAAAACCGAAACGCATCTGAAACGAGACCTATTAAAGGTGATCAGTGGAGGCATTTAAGAAAACTAAAGCTCGACTCTCTCTCTCTGAAGCACAAAGGTGGGTCTGATGGAGAAGCATCACAGGGGGCTTCAAGGGATTCAAGGTTTCCAGAGTCGGAAAATCTGGAACTTCACATACCCGAGTTGTTAAAGCAGAATCGCACAAAGTGTAACGGACTGCAGAGATGTGTTGAAACGCCTGCACAAGAGGAGGCTAGTTGGTGACCTCTGGTGGTCGGCATGTGAACTACCAGTGAGCTTGCCTGGGTCTAGCAGTGGGGAGGGATTGTCTTTTTATGAGCAATTAGAAGCTCTTTCTCTGTTCCCAGTGAATTCCCTCCAGTTCCTGGAGAGGTTCCTGAGGGTGTCTTCAATATTAATGGTGCTTTACACTCCTTCTGTTCCAAATCGCTTGCGTCCTTGAACTTCGTTCTATTGCCTGGTCATAGTGTAAAGAAGGTGAAAGTTGCCCACTTTAGGATAGACCTGTCACTACAGTCCAGTCCTGTGAGTTGAATCCCAGTTCCTTCTTTCTGCTTTTTCCCCCCACAGGGGCCTGTGATCCAGCTGGGACTGTGGAGTCCGGGGCCTCAGCTACCTGCACACCAGGTGACTTTTTTTTCCTCAAATCCTCACCGAGTACCAGCCACCCAGTTTCCAAAAATAGGCTCCAGTTTGCTCGGGACTTGTCAGTGGGGTTTTGAAGGCCAAAAAAGGGCTTTTCATGAAAAGAAATCTTCAAACGGCGTTTTCACTGAAGAGGCTTGGGTGATGGGAAGGAACTGTGGCTACAGTAGGTAAAGACTGGCGCGGGCTCCTGCCCTGGCCTGTTCACAGAGGGGCTCTGTGGCAGGACGCGGGGGCGTGTCGAGCGTGGGGGCGTTGTCTCTAACCGCGGCCGTACTGGTGATCGGGGACGAGACCAGCCTTGGAACCGTGAGCAAAAGTAGCTCGACGTCTTCTCAATGTACGTTATACCGGCTTAACATTCGACCCACATGTGCAGCCTATTGTCAAAACCATCTTTTTTTCATGACTACTGTAATGCGCTACTCGCCGGGGTATCTAAATCTCCTATGAACAAACTACAGTATGTCCAAAATTCAGCAGTCAGGATCTGGACCAGGTCTAGTGCAAGTGATCACATTACTCCTGTCCTGGAGTCCTTGCACTGGCTTCCGTGTGGACTTTAAAATCCTCATGCTCACCTACAAGGCTCTGGCACATCAGTACCTGTCTGAACTTTTATTGCCCTACTCCCCACCTCGCAACCTTCGCTCTTCTAATTCTGCTCTCCTTACTGTCCCCTAAGCCCGTCTACACTCTATGGGTGTCAGGGCCTTCTCCTGTTATGCCCCCAAGCTCTGGAACTCTTTGCCCAAGGATATCGGAGAGTCACCTTCTCTAAACTCCTTCAAATCCAGACTCAAAACCTTCTTCTTCAGAAGAGCCTTTACTGAACTGGTTCCATTCTTCACCCCTCTGCTTTTCTTACTACCCCCATCCACGGTCTCCTCTGTATATTGTAATTGTGTTTTATCTTGTGTATTCTTCTTATTTATTGTCGTTGTCATTCTGTAAAGTGCTTTGCGAAGCCACCTTTAAAGGCACTATATAAAATAAAGTTTATTGTTATTACTTTTGAATAATCAAAACCTAATAATAGCCTAATGAAAACGAGTCCACAGGGGAATAAATCTGATGGGTCCCATCATTCGGCAGCCTCCTAAGATCTTTTACTACTTCCGATCCGATTCAGATCGGATTTAGTTTTCAGCTCTACAGGGAGCTCAGGTGGAGTCTTGGTGACTGGAGAAGACCGATAGGCTCCCTTGAGTGTCTGAATCAAGAATACCCTTGCCTGAGATCCCCAACCTTTCCCAAAAGACATCGGTGCTCTTATCTGCTAATGCCTGTTTCTGTTTAGTGTCCCCAGTGGAGGAGGACGCACTGTGTGGTTTGAAACTTCAGGAGCCCAGAACCAGAGAAGAGTTATTAAAATGTGAGTCTGTTTCTGCTGGAATCTGGGCCATTCTGGAAATGATACCCAAACAGCAGGGTGGTGTTGTAGTAGCACTGGGGCCCTGGGTTCAGTTCCTGGGGTGCTGTTTGTGGAGTCTGCGTGTTCTTCCCATGTGCTAGTAGGTTCATTGGCTTCTGGGAAAGTTGGCCCTGGTATGAGTGTGTGTGTGACCTGAGACGGACTGGCTTCCTGTCCAGGGGGTACCCTGCCTTATGCCCATTGAATGCTGGGATAAATAATCCTTATGCTTACAGTATATAGCACTTCCCATCACCTGTAAAGAGCTACGAGTGGATCCCCTCCACCCCCACCTGGATGATGCTCCAGTCCTCTCCCCACACACCAGCTCTCAGTGGGGAGGAGAGCAGAGTGATGAAGCCAGTTCAGAGATGGGGGTTATTAGGCGGCCATGATTGGGGGGGAAAGGCCAGGGGGAAATTTGGCCAGGACACTGGGGTAACACCCCTACCCCACCTTGCATTGCCTAAAGTGGTTTGAAAATGAATAGTGTATATCTACACTATACTGTATGTACAACCTTCCTTTACTGGTGTAAATATGAGCTTTCTTTAATGCAAGCTCACTGTGTCCATGAATTAATTGGATCGACGTTAATCTAGTTTTTAGTTTCGGAAGCGAATCCAGGCACACCCTGCCAAGCTGCAGGTACAATGAATCCGATCGGTGCAGGGACTGTATCGTCTGTGGTCTTTCACAGTTGGCTCCTGGCCAGGGCCCGTTCCAGCGCAGCCGGGCCGCAGATCAGGAAGGGTCTCTCCCGCCCGGCTCACCCAGGTCTTCTTTCCGGACAGACGCCTGCCCCCTGTCGCTGGATCCGGACACCGCCTTCAGACACCTGGGCCTCACGGAGGGCGACCGCCGGGGCACGCTGAGGCGCGAGGCCCAGCCCCGCCCCGAGCACCCGGACCGGTTCGACTACTGGCGCCAGGTGCTGTGCCGGCAGGGCCTGGCCGGGGGGCGCCACTACTGGGAGGTGGAGTGGAGCGGGCCCAAGGTCTCCATCGGGGCGTGCTACCGGGGGATGGGCAGAAAGGGGGCCGGGCCGCAGAGCCGGCTGGGCCACAACGCCAAGTCCTGGAGCTTGTACTGCTCGGGCTCCGGCTGCTCCCTCTGGCATGATGGGAAGGAGACGGCGGGCGGCCGCGCCAGGTGCCCCAGGGTGGGCGTCTTTCTGGATCACGGGGCGGGGGTCCTGGCGTTCTACGGCGTCGCGGAGGGCGTGACCCTGCTGCACAGAGTCCGGGCCGCCTTCGCCGAGCCCCTGTACCCCGGGTTCCGGTTGTGCTCCACCGTGGGCTCCAGCATGAGCCTGTGCCCGCTGGATTAGCGCCCCCCTCCCTGCTCCGCGGGGGAAACTGGGGATCGAGCTTCCCTGGAGAGTGAGCCCGTCCCTCCAGGTGGGGCTCTGGAGAGTCGGCGCGGCTCATCCCATCCGGGCGCAGTCTAGGCTTGCGAGACGTTCTTTTCCTGCGCGATCGGCATCCAGAGGAGGGGGGGAGACGTTTTGAGTTTGTGAGCCGACTGATCTTTCTCCGCTGCCGAGCGATTTGCTCCGTGCCGGGTTCTGCTTGGCAGTAGCTCTACTGTATTTTGGCTATCCTTTTTGTCCTCCTCTAACGATTTTCGGAGAGATGTTGAAAGAGATTCCGCCTTTTTTGTATCTGTACTTGCCTGGTGAGTTTCATACGAATCCGTGCTGTGGGTTGTGGTACAGGAATCTCTACACAATCGGCTTTGTGCTTCTGTGGTGATTCTGGATTATGTGTAGGTTAAACTAAAGGCTCCGTACACTGTACTGTATGTACAGCCTTCCTTTATTGGCGTAAATATAAGCTTTCTCTAATGCAAGCTCACTGTGTACGTGAATTAATTGGATCAACGTTAATCTAACAGACAATCTTGATTTAATGTACACTCGCCGTATTCCACCTGCAATGGAGCTGACATGTCAGTGCTAGTAGAGATTATTATGGAGAATTTGAATGTGCTCCTGATCAGATGGTGTGATGAATGACTACTGTATATTCTGATTTTGTTTTTTATGGATGTGATTTTTAATGCATGCCCAATAAGGAATAATAAAGATTTTCTGGTGTTGAAGGATTGTTTGCATAAGGTGCGTGTTGCTGTTTATTATTAATATTCATCATACAATATCAAAGGGTGGGTCTTTATTGAAGTGGCTTGTTAATGGAGAAATAAGGAGGACTGCGTGCAAGAGCTCTGAAATATGGATGAAAACGTGGCCGCAGCTGAGAGAGGGTTTGTGTGGTGTAACCCTGCTGTCTAACTTGGTGTCCCCTTGGAGTCTGGTCTCTCCATACAGGTGTGTGGATGGTCTTCGCTGCCTCAGTACCGAGCTCTCAAGTCTGACCGCGGGAGAGGCAGAGAGGTCTCCACCAGCCCTGCACCAGTGAGGTGAATCTTTGCCACAGTTTGGGACGTCTAGGAAGCAGGTTTTTCCACTTTGACTTATATCAGACAGCCTTGATTTACCCAAGTTCCTGATTTTCACGTGCTTGGTTTCTGTTAAAGGGGAACTGCAGTACCTCTCTCTCCGCCCGAAATTAAATTAGCTGACGGTATCCCCCCAAAAAACGTTACAGATTTCGAATTGAGCACAAAATGGCGAACATTGCAAAAGTACTGTAAGTCGCCTGTGTTTTTGCAAACTGCGGGTCCCTTTGTGGGACAAGAGCAAGAGTCCCCACAAATAATTATGTGAAGCGGCCCTAATAACAGTAAATAACAGTCCCTCGGGTCTCTGATGTGAGAGAACCAGGCTGAGCTTTTCGTTATAACAGTCCAGGGCTGTGGTTCCTTACCTGGGGTACACGCACCCCTGGGCTTGCAAATGCCTCTTCTGGGGGTGTGACGACAGGCCGGAATTTGACAGATCGCGTAAAACGTGAATCGAGCACGGGCTCCTCATTGTTTGCACAACCTCTTTGTTCCAGCAGACCTAGGTACTGTGTTTTAAGGTCAACTTTAAAATATATCTTTCATGGATTCTTAATTTATCTGTGAAATGAAAACGCGTCGTTCTGTCCCTTTATGCCATAGTTATGATTTTCTGTATCTGTATTTGTGAGCACCGATTTTGAGGACAGGCTGCAGTCAAGGTTAAGAACCGCTGCTCTAGATCAGAAGAATCGGGGTTACCGGGTTACGGACCATGGAGTCACTGGGCTGGGCCTCTCCAGAACCGGGGTTAAGACCCCTGCTTTAAGTCAGTTGGAGTAAAGTTGATCCGGCTCCTTCCAGCCTGTCTGCTGATCTAACAGAAGAGCAGCCAATAACGGACAGCTCTGTCCAGTCTGTCTGCCAGCCATGAGCTATAGGTGTGTCACCGAGTCGTCTGGCTGTTGAACAGGGAGGCAGTGTGTGGCGCGACAGCTGCTAGGTTACAAGAGGTGGAGCACTGTGGGATTAGCAACGCCAGAACTGAGTCGACGACTACGCAGGAGTGCTGCTCTATTCTGGGGCCGCAAAGCTGATTTGCAGGAATTAAAAGTGGCGTGGGCGTGCTTCAGTATGCACCAGCTTGTGACTCTCTCTCTCTCTCTCTCTCTCTCTCTTTCTCTTTCTCCCTCCTCCACCTGCCCACGCCGGCTTCCCCTCACCCTGCTGCGCGAGGCGCATCTCCTCTCCCGTTCCTGGATCTGCGGGATCGCTGCTTGGCTGCTGCCCTGTCCAGGTGCCTCAGGATGCTGGCCACGATGCTGACCGTGATGTACTTCATGGTGCGAGCGGCGGAGCAGGTGAGGCTCTCCTGAGGTCTGGCAGAGTAAACTCCTTCAGCATCGAAGGAAAAAAAACAGTCATATTTTAGGCTTAAAAGCCATCACTGATAGAGAGGCTCGATCTAGTGTGATCAGAATGAGAGAATTCTCTGCATGATGGGGAGAAGACTGAAGTGTCTCAGTTTTCACGATGACTGGCTCTCGTTTGCTGATCGGAAACGATGTCTCCCTGCGCCCTGCTCTCCTGGAGCTCCAGGAAGATCTTGATACCTTTGCTGCCTGAGGGATGAGGCTGGGATGATGGAGATCAAGCAGATTTTTGGATGTGGGCGTTCGAATTCAATCGCGTCACCGTGATGAATAGGTCGGGTCCAGACCAAAGCCAGACGACGCTGCAGGCCGGAGTTGATGGTGGTTTCTGCAGTGTTTATCGGACTAGCCCGCCCCCTCTACCGGATCACCCCTAATGATGAGGCTCCCCAGGGCTCATGGGGAGGCGGGGGGGGCTGGAGCTACTGGGGTAGGTAGAGAACCTCATTTGGGGTCAAACAGCAGCACCCGCAGTGAGTAATCGAACCCACACCTCCTCCTCCTCCTCATCATAATAACAATAGTTGCTTACACTTGCGTAGCGCTGTTCTGCTCACTCCACTCGGAGCTCTTTTCAGGTCGTGTGGATTGCTCACCAGTCAGCTCACTCGGAGCCTCTCTGCTGTGTTTCTCTGTTGTTGTCGTTCCACGTGCTGCAGCTCTGCCTGCCCCAGCTGCCTGCCCCAGCTGCGGGCGTCCTCTCTGTAGGACACGATGGCCACTCCGTGCGTCCATGCGTCCATGCGTCCGCGCGTCCTGCCGCAGTGCGATAGCCCACACCTCAATAGAGGGAGATCCATTGAAATGTACCTGGGATTCATCCCAAACTAAACTGTACCAGAACTGTCGTCGGCACAATCCCTGAAGCAGTTACTAATGTCCTGGGTAAAACATGCAGCTTCTTGGGTCTCCAGGTCCAGCCCCCCTCTTTTGCTGCCAGCAGATCTCCGTGCAGAAGGACGTACACAGCCCGAATTCGCCCCGTTTCTTTAAACCGTAGAATGAGGATCTTTCTTTTTCAGAATCGAGCTTTGATTTTTTTTTTGGGAGGGGGGGAGCTGAGCAAAAGTTTCACACAATCACTTTTTTTCTGATTTATTTTTTTCCCACTCCCATCCGCTTTTCCCGATCCGCTGGTAACAGTTTGTTGCCGTTTTACGGGAGGAGGATCAGGCAGGTTAGATAGTCCCACCTTGATCAGCCCTGGGAGTCGGCCCGAGTCTCTGTTCCCGCTTTATGTAGCGAAATCGTCCGCGAGATGCGGAAGAATCTTGCAGAAGCTGCTGATTTTTATTTTTTATTAAATTTTGCGACGTGAACTCTGACAGCCTCTTCTACCCTCCCGGTTCCCAGGTGGGCTCAGGGTGGCTCCGCCCGGACCCTCTGCCCTACATGGTGTACCAGCCGCTGCCCTGGCAGGTCCAGAACGTGTCCCAGAACCGCCGCGGGAGCCGCGTGGACGAGGTCAGGACCGCCGCCCCCGCCGCGCTCTCTGGCCCCGCCGCTCTCTGGCCGCGCTCTCACCCCCTGTCTCCTCTCCCTCCAGAGAGAAGGCGGCTCGCAGAGGGACCCTGCCCCCGGCGGGCACCGAAAGGGTAAGTTCCAGAAAAACGCCACCCCCGCCCTCCCCTACCGCTCTGTGCGTCTCGTTCAGCTCAGTTTGTTTCTTATGCACAAGCGCCTCGCGATGCTTATCCGCAGGTGTGCTCCGATACAAAGACATTCGAGGAAGCACCAGAAACGACAGGTTTAATAACGGACAACTTTAAAATAACCGCATCAGTGTGAGTGATAGGGGTATCTGATGGCTTGTGGGAAGAAGCTGTCTCTGAATGGGGAGGTTCGTGTCTTGATGCTCCTGTAACGTTTACCAGAGGGCAGGGGGGAGAAAAGGGAGAAAACGGGATGACTGGTATCCTTGGCGATACTTCCAGCCTGCCTGAGACAGCGGGTTGTAAAAATGTCCACGAGAGAGGGGAGCTGTACTCCAGTCATGGACTGGGCGGACCTGACCACCCCCTGTCACGCCTTCTGGTCGGCCACCGAGCTGCCGCCAAACCCCACCCTGACCCCACACGCGAGCACGCCCTCCAGAGCGCACCTGGAGGACGTGGGACGGGCATTCGAAGTCCAGACCGGGTTTTTTCAGCTGTCTGAGGAAATACAGGCGCTGTTGTGCCTTCTTTGAAGCTCCAGTTCCATGCTGGGACCACGTTCAATCATCAGCGAAGAATACCCAGGAACATGAAGCTGCTCACCATCTCGACACCATTGAGGGGGGTATAGGGGTGTGGTCCCCCACCCTGCTTTCTCATGTGCCCTTGAGTTCAGTATTGTGCCCTTGAGTTCAGTATTTACTGGCACATCTCTTTGTGGGTGGGGAAAATAGACACCGAAGGGGGGTGGTCAGTCACTAAGGTGAATTTCTGACCATAGAGGTAGTAATGGTGGAATCGGTAACACCCACACACCAGGCTCAAAGCTTCACGGTGAATTTGAGCATAACCACGTTCTGCTTTTTGTCAAAGATGCGGAGGCAACCTGCGGGGCTGCTCTTTCAGTGCCGTCTTTAAGCTGAGGCGACAGTCCGGCACGGATACCGTCCGCCGAAGCATCGCATGTCGGTCAGAGGGGCAGAGAGGCCCAGGTGCCCCATCACTCCGATCTGACCTTTCTTTTCGTTTCTCGGAAAGCTGTTTCGCTGCTTTCAGACCAGTTCCAACCAACCCCCGTTTGGAGAAGAGCGTTCGGGGGGGGTAAAGAAATGTTGACAGGTTCGGTAAACTGGTGGGTATGTGTCATACATGTGTCATTGGAGGGACTAGTTACTTGGCGGATGTTTATCACTTCACTGTTCTTTTGTGTGTACGCGCCCGCGCATTGACCTAACGGTTAGTGATGAGTCGGAGAAAGTTCTAGTGAAAGGTGCGTTAACGGGCGCCCTGTCTCTTACTGTTTGTTTTTTTACGTAGTTTTGTAAGTGAATAAACATAAATTGGCGACGAGGATGTTCCTTAGGCCGTCGATGATGAAAGGACACATCAGTCTTGCTGTATGAAAGACAGAGCAGGGATTGTGAAGAGAAACGTGAGTCACTGACGCGGATTTCGCGCTTAATTATGAGGGAGTGTGAACAGTGATTATTTACCCGAATAAAAATAATAATAGCGGGTCGTATTTGGAAATAGGAATGAATTTGCTGACTTGAACGAGGATTGAGCTGTATGTATTGAAAGGGCGGGACATTAGTGCGAGGGCAACGACAGGAAACTTAGCGTCATG